CGCATGGGACATGTGGCTGCAGACTGTTGGGGCACTGTTCGTCAAGTGGAGAGCGGCGCTGGCACGTACGCTCCAAGTGTGGCTCCGAGTGACTCTGCATCCCAGGTAAAACCTGGGTCTACAGCGGCTACAGCAAGTACGACGGCTTCAACTGCTACTGGTGGTGTGGCGACTTCGATGGCGAGGCCTGCTCAGAGCGCGGGGTTTGTTCGGAGGTTGCAAGCTGCTGGACTTGGAGATCTAGGAGAGTGCACTGAGAGTGAGCATGGCGATGATCAGCAGTGGAGTGATGCTTTGTATGACGCTGAGTGGCAGATGCAGTTCGAAGCTGACGGTGAGCAGTATCTAGATGAAGCATCCTGGGAAGCCTACGTAGCTGAAGCCGAGTGGGATCCTTATGATCAAGCTTCTTGGGAAGCTTATGCGGAAGCTGAGTGGGCATCTTGGCCTACGGAGCCTGAGTACGGAGATTGGGTGCGACGCCTTGGGGTGTCAGACGAAGAGTCCGAGCTAGTGAGTACGAGTTGTTTGGTTTATGATCTCACGGTGCAAGATGAGCTCTCTGACGATCCGGATTGTGAAGCTGAAGAACCATTTCATGAAGATGAGCTTTGTGATTGTGAGGGAAGCTTCATAGACAATATCGCTGTAGGGGAAGCCAACATCACTGCCGATCAACTCCATCATCATGTGCGTGCTGTCGGGACTGTGGAGCTTGAGAGCGTGATTTTCGATAGCGGTGCGGATGTCACAGTCCTTCCAATTGATCGCTTTGCGGAGGTAGGTGTGAGAACTTCCGACAACAGAAAGCCCTACAAGCTTCGAGATGCGCAGGGCAACTCCATTCCAGGAGGTAGCCTGAGAGCTCGAGTCCAATTCGAGGTTGAAACGATGGAAGGCGACACGGTCGTCTTTGAAGATGATGCTGTGCTGGCGCAGGTCGCAGCACCGCTGCTCTGTTCAGCACGGTTGTTTCGAGATGGCTGGAGTTTGGTTCAGGGTGAAGAGTCTATGCTGTTGTCCAAGGGTGAGAGACATGTGCCTGTGCATTTCCAGAAGAACTCGTTGGCCATGAACATGTACATCAGACAGATCTGTGATCAAGATGAGCTTGACGTTCGTGCAGTTCTTCATGTCGGTGATGAACTTGTGCAGACAGTTGTGAGGGGCACGGACGGTTGGCAGCTAACGAGTGATGAAACTCCTGTATTCGTGAGCAAGCACTCGTCGGTCACAGAAGATCCCAGTCTTTCGTTTCCGTGTGATCATTGGCCCTATAGAACTACGCTTCTTCACATCCCAGGTCGTCCGAAACCAGACCATTTCGAAGTCTTTGAGTTGGGAGCGTATTGGGAAGGCAATGAACGGAAACAGATTTCACCTGATGGGGCGAACTACACCATTCTCACTTTGCTGTCTACACGTCCTGTTGAAATCCAGCGCTTCGGGAAGCTTGTACGTGATTCGGTACCGGCAGCTGGCATCGGAGAAGAGTTGGAGAGAGAAAAGAGGGAGAGTGAACGCGCGGAAGCTCAAGAGGCTTTGGCGGCGCGCGATGCGGAACAGGCTCCTATGGTGCCTCCTCCAGAAGTTCAGGTAGATGATGGAAGAGAGAGAGTTTCACTTGCTGGCATAGATGTTGATGAAGCTTCGTCATTGGGAACACTTCGTGCCGCATGCAAGTTCTTGGACATCTCCCATCATGGTACAAAGGCTGTGCTATGGAATCGCATCAAACAATCGGTCACAAAGTCTAGGCTAGATGCAGTCACGCAGATTGCCGACGCAGTGTTGAAAGAGTATGAGAGACCTGCTGAAGGAGAACCGCTAGCAAAGTTGCCATCGGTTGCTGAACAAGAATTACATGCTCTAACACATTTACCGCGACAACCATGGTGCCAAGCATGCCTAGCTGCGCGCTCGAGAGAGGATAATCATACCGCAACTTCGCCCGAAGAACGTGCAATACCAGTCGTTTCAGTGGACTACATGTACACTGGGACCGAGGGCACAGCAGATGAGAGAGATCCGTTGTGTGAGCACTTGTTGGTCGTCGACATGAAGACAAAGTATGTCCTGGTCTTGCCCATTGACGTCAAAGGTGGAGCTTCAGTTCGCGGTTGCACTGAGGAGATTGTGAGAATGATGTCGTCCTTAGGGTATCGCGAAGTACACATCCGCGCTGATACCGAACCAGCGATGAACCAGCTTGTAGACCACATCACTCAAGTTCGCACGAAGCTTGGATTCAAGACAGAACGCGAGCCTGTGCCCCCAGATGCGTCAACACATCAAGGATTGCCTGCAGAGCGCTATGTGCAAACAATACGTCAGCTTGGAAATTGCCTCCTTAGAGCGATTGAGTTGAAGTGTGGCTACCAGGTCAAGTCGTTTCACCCGGTGTTCACATGGGCATTCCGACATGCAGGGTGGCTTCATTCTCGTTATCATGTTCTATCGTCTGGTCAAACTCCTTACGAATTGATCCATGGCCACTCGTTTGCCGCGAAAATTGCTCCTTTCGGATGCTCAGTGTTTGCTCAGTGCCTGCCCAAAGTCAAGGCCAAGGGTGCAACGTGGATCAAGGGTGTGTACCTAGGCAGATCCCATAGTGGCGCGCTCAATGTGATCGGCACCTCTGAAGGTATTCAATTTGCTCGTACTATCAGGAGGTCCCCTACCGAGTTTGAACCGATGCTCTTGGATGCAGTGAAAGGCGTATCGTGGAATTTGACTCTTGGTGTAGTTGGTGTTCGAGTCCCTCGTGGTGGTCGTCGTATTCGTCTCCCAGCAGTTGTTGAGCAAGCAGAACAAGCACCTCCAGAAGAAGAACGAGATCAGAGAGAGCAAAGTGGACCGGGAGATGAAGCAGGTTCAGACCCAACAACTTCCTCATCCTCCTCTACCTCTAAGAAAGACGTGTCGCTCGACTCCATGTCACTACCAGGTGAGAGCGGCAGTGGGAGCAGTGGCACTGGATCTGCATCTGGTGGATCACGAGACATCTTGGCAGAGAATGTTGGAGTAGAGGAGGAAGGTAGTGCAGCTTTGGAGAGCAGTCCGAAGTTCAGAAAGCTTGGTGAGGGCCGTGTTGCACATGTTTCATTTATGGTGCGCAGACTTAGAGATGACTTGTATGACCCGTCAGAGCCGATTGAAGTCCCGGAAGTGTCTGAAGAGCATGATCAAGTAGTGGATCCTCAAGACGATGGTGAGTTCAATCAGGTAATTGATGAGATGGACACGATTATGCTGAACAACTACGAAGCGGGTCCACCAGAGCTGAGCGATGAGGCCTTGGCACAACTCGATGCCGAGCGTGATCAGTTCGAACTCGATAGGCTTGTTGGCATGGGTGTATTAGTGAATGCAGATGAAGAACAGTTGGATGATGACACAACCGAGTTGAGCTCAAAGTTCGTCCGCGATTGGAGGTGGAGAGATGATAAGTGGACAAGAAGAAGCCGCCTGGTGGGTCGAGAGTTTCGTTCTCTATCCCCAGAGCTTGATGACTTGTATAGTCCAGCTTCTATCTCTAGTACCACAAAACTCCTTGCGGCAATGGCTGCTACATCAGTTGAGCTAGAGCTGTATTCGCTAGACATTTCAGACGCTTATCTCATGGTCCCACAGCGCACACCCAAATACGTCAGGGCCAACGGCCGGGTCTACAGAATCCTGTACAATCTACCAGGTCAACGGGATGGTGCTCAGGGATGGTATGAGTTCTTCAGTGCAGTGCTTCAGAAGCATGACATGAAAGTTTGTGAAGTTGCTCCAGCGATCTTTGCTATCCCGGGGAGACTGGTCATCAACACTCATGTGGATGACGGCAAGGTTCTTGCTGCACCGGGCGAGATGGAGAAGCTTCGAGAGCACCTCGAATTAAACAAGTTGAAGGTGAAGGTTGAAGGACCGTGTAGGTTGGATTCCGGTAGCTGTCGCTTCTTGAAGAGGGCGTATGAAGGGCATGGTGACTACATCAGCGTGAAGCAGGAGCCAAAGTATGTTCTGAAGATTCTTGAAGTTTTAGGGCTCCAGAACGCATCATCAAAACCAACGGTTTGGCCATCGGGTATGTCACCTCAGCCAGACGACGACGAACCACTTTCCGCAGATGAACATAGTCTGTTTCGATCATGTACCGGGATCATCTTATACATCTCACCGGATCGGCCAGAAGTGCAGCACGCATCAAGAAGGCTTTCCTCGAAAGCCACCGCGCCTTGCAAGCAGGATCTTCGGTGCCTTAAGCATGTGGCAAGGTACCTCAAAGGCACTATGGATCATGAGACTCGATTCCCAGCTACATGTCCAGGTCGTTCGTTCTTGAATGAGCAGAGTGGCATCGGTGACCACTCATCGTTTGAGGTTGAGAACTTGCTTGAAACGGTGTCGGATGCAGACTTTGCTTCGGGTGATGATCGGAAGTCTACCACGGGCTTTTGCATTTTCTTGAACGGCATCCCAGTGTACTCGACATCTCGTAGGCAGCATGTGATTGCTCTGAGTTCTATGGAAAGTGAGCTGTATGCCTGTTTAGCAGCCGTAGCTGAAGGATTGTTCCTGAAAGAAGTGGTGAGTTTCATCACTGGCAAGAAGGTTGAATTGGTGCATCGGACGGATGCGAGCACTACTATTGGTTTCTGCAAGAAGGCTGGTTGTGGTCGGACGCGTCACTTGGCAACCAGTGCATTGTGGATTCAGTCAAAGCTTAAGGACGGTAGCTTCAGCATTCGCAAGATCAGTGGGAGAGTGAACCCTGCAGACCTTTTGACAAAGACTTTCAGTGCATCAAAGATGAATCAGCTGCTTTACCATTTCCATGTCTTTGATACTTGGGTGATGAAGAACACGCGCAAGAGATCATCAGAAGGACCATTTTTGGGTCCACAGGCTTGAAAGCATTCAGACTCATGTTAGCCTCTATGTTGATCGATCGAGCGGAAGGCGTGACAGTTTCAGCAGTTGAGTCCCACGGGACATGGATGAAAGTAGCGATGGCCTCAATGCTGATGCTCATGGTTCTTCTTCCAATGCTCCTCATCCTGGCAAAGAACCCAAAGCTTCAGGACAAGGACAAGGAACAGCAGCGCCAGGAACACCGTGGTTTCTATCGGCATCAGCAAGCTTCGACCTCAACTCCGACGACGAGCGGAAACCCAGCGGTAGCAAGGAGAAGAAAATCAGACAAGTTTCCCAAAAGTCAAGACATTCAGCTTATGCCAAGAAAACCCTTCGGCGATTCCTCTATGAACAACACCAGAAGCTCAAGTCAACAGACTTCTATGCCAAGAATCCCAAAGTCCTACAACAACAAGCTGATGAGTACACAAACCTGGTTCACATGGGAAGATTATCAGCCTTGGATGTGGATATGGTTGCTGGTCGTCTCCTTCGTGCTCCTTTTGACGACCTGTATGTGCAGACGGTTGCCGACTATCGTTATCAACATCGACTTGTGGCCTCAACGAGCTCAAAGTCCAGTGGCAAATCCTCTTCTACCGGGAGATCAAAGAGAACCTGAACATCTACGTGAAGTACAAGATCAGCGACTTCCTCATCGAGACGCCGGCGCACAACGTGAAGTACCAGATCAACGACTTCCTCATCGAGACGCCGGCGCACAACGTGGAGTACAAGATCAACGACTTCTTCGTGGACAAGATCCTCATGCACATTATGGCCGCGACGACAACAACAATCCTGGTTTGGATGGTGTTACCCAACGAAGACTACACGAGTGGATGGAACAGGAGGTGTTGCCAATACTTCAAAATCATACTCCGCGGTGCCGTATGGACGGTATAGATGGAAACATGCGGGTTCACATTGCAACTCACTATGGGCGCTCATGTCATCGTAGAGATTGCAGTAGCATCACGAAGGACGCCAAAGCCACTCGAGAGATGAGCTTATCACAAGCAGTAGAGCGCGGACTTGCACCGTGCCACCGTTGCCTCTATGACATCTACGAAAGCTTGAAGCAGCAGAATCCAAATGACAAGATGTTCAACATCAAGAAGAAACAACGCTGAGAAAGTTGCGTCAACACGTAGCTCTAACAACTACTTGAGCTGAGACTGGCGTAGCTTCTTTCTGTACTGCGTAGCTTCGTTCTTTAGTGACGTAGCTTTTCTCCCGCACTCTGTCATGTAAGACCTTTGGAATAGCTTTGACAGAGCAGCAGTTTCGCAACTTACAAACTTTCCAGTGTGGCTTCGCAAACTGTACAGTTGGTGCGAATCCAAGAGGGCGTGTTAAATACTTCTGTTACCTAGCATGCCCCTTTTCAGTGTGCATAACAATGCGCATGTGCAGTACCTGAGACACTCCGCTTTACAAGGCCGTTTTGCTGAGTGAAAAGTTCGCGACCGTATTTGTTACTTTCAAAGACGTTTGAATTCTCGATCACAGTTTGAATCGTGGAGTATGTTTGCTTGCGGGTTTTGTTCAACAAAGAATCATTACGAATCTTGTTGTGCACATCTTCCACAATCTTGTTGTCTGGCAGCGTCTGCACCAGAACACTCAGCAGGTGGGTTGCAGGGCATGCTGGTACCGATATTGTTACAGTCCTTTGAGCTGGCACTCTGCCCTCTTGCCCGTCTAACAAAATGTCACCAACTCCGGCACCGTCATCTGCTTCTTCAGGCACAGAATCCTCCATCTCCCCGTCCTGCTCTGTGTCAACATCATCCACGACAATGTCTTCTGACCCCGGAGGCGCCACTTCATATCCCTGTGCCTCCAATGTGTCCAGAAAAAGTCTCGAAGGATGGCTGATTCCAACTTGCAGGTCTGTGAAGAGTTGCCGGGCATGAACACTTGGAGTGGACCGTGCCAATGTCGACTCCAACCTCAAGAGTGATGTGTGATGGCCCTTTGCCTTCAAAGCCGTGATCGTCCGAATTTCTGCATCAGGTGACAGCAATCCCGCATAGGCATCTGGTGGAAGTGAAAAAAGACTGCAAGTCCAGACCCTGTTCATCAGCAAATGCAAGCTCAACATCATGATTTTTTCTGCGGGCTCGTGTAAATCAGTATCCAGATGCTCCTTCCACAACTCGGTCTTCTGCAGGTTGGAGACAATCTGCAACAAATGTTTGTCTGCTTTCCAGGCATCATTCACTGTCATCAACTCGGCATAACCTCGACCATCCTGCGGCGATTTAACGTTTTTTACTTGTTTCCCATACCATGTCCACAACGGTTCGGTCACTTTGTACAATATCTTGGAGTGATCGAAAAGGTCTTCTGTCATGAGATAGTATGCCAACTTGAAGCCCCCCATGCTGGCTTTCAACAAGCTGAGTTCTTTCCGTGGATCAGTGGCACGACCAGCCTGTGACAGCTTTTGCAAATCACCCAGTGCATCTTCCTGCCTCTCACCATTGTCAGAGTCCGGCACTCTGCCTTCGGACTCTGGCACTCTGCCTTCGAAGAGCTCCTTGCCCGATTGTGTATTCGCCGAGTTGGAATACAGGCTGAGTCTTTCCCTTGAGCAAGGGCTGAAAGATTGATCTTCACCGAAATGATCAGCCAGCAGCATTTTGAGGACATGAAACTCATGAAGTTGCTCACAACATAGCTGGTTCCAGCTGAACCATCTGGAGGATTTCACCAAGCTGCCCTTCTTCATGAAGGATTCGACATTTGCAAGCATATGTTCAATCTCATGCTCGTCACCGGATAGCTGCCTGTCTAAGTCATAGGCAATCTTATCTCGAAAAGCGTCCCACAACAAGCTTCTGCTCGGTGATGTGCAGGAAACAAAACTCGCCAGCATTTCCTTCTTCTGCTGGTAGAAACCACCACTTCCAAAGGGTTTATAATTCAGGGCAAAGATGTAAGAGGAGTGAAGTTGTGCTTTCAGGAAGAGTCCTTTGAGGCATCTCGACATGCTGTTTTTGAAATCTCGAATGGCCCTGTGAATCTTGTCACATTTCACATGAATCATGTTTTCACGCATAGCATAGGCCATGCCAGCAAGTCCGATGCTGCCCTGGTCAAGGCCCAAGACCAGCAGTGGAATGTTCAGCCACCACTTCTCTGACTCTGGCAAGACGGGGAGCACATTTGTGATCTCTCCATCCTCAGACATTGTCTTCAGAAAGGAGACATGAGGAAAAGCTGGTGGCACTCTGCCTTCTGGCACTCTGCCTTCTGGCACTCTGCCTTCAGCCGGATCCGGATTGTCCCTCAACCACTGAAAACAGCGGTCAATGTCATTGTCTTCTTTTCCAACTTGGAAAACCACCCTGCTTTCATATCTTTTCACAGGCCTCTGCCCAAGAGAGGGGGCGATCTTGAAAGAGCCCAAATCCATTCGCCCTCTGTGCAAAATCCAGATTTGGTGACTGATCGCTTGAAGCTGCCTGAATGCAGCAATCCTTTCCAGCTTCTTTCGCTTTGATATGTGAAGAAGCAGGTCGTCGTCAAACCGGTCTTGTGGAGAAACTTGTCCAGTCTTCATCACTTGCATGGGTGCAAACACTGCAGCAGAAATCTCATTCGCCCAAGCCACTGTCACAAGACAATCGCTGGTGCTGTGAGTAGACCCATCGGCGATGAAGTTGATTTGTCGACAGTGCTGCATAGCAGTGATAGCTCTCTCCTGGTACAACCGATTGATTCGAAGCTGCCACTCGTCACAGCTGGACTCAGGCACACCTGAGCTGGCAAGTCAAAGAGCGATCGATTCGTTCGCTGCAATCGTTGAGATACAAAAGTACAACTTGGACTTCAACACTATGCGCAAGCAACACCATTCTTCGGCCTCCCATGGAAGAGCTTGGGTCACCGAGGCTACGTCATTTTCGGGAGGGGCCACCTGGCACGTTAGCGCATGTGTCCAGATGTCATAGCCAGATGCCCGCTGGCCGTTGGCCCCAACCCCCCCCTAGACTGCGGGACCCCAGTGCCCTTGCCCTCGCTCCACACCCGGCCAACAGTGTGTCGGTAGCTGCCAAAATTGGCGGGCATGCAGCTGCCGCTTGGTAGAGCAACATACACCAAACCCCATTCTGAACATGTTGGCACTCGTGACAAACACAACCGAACAGCAAGCCGAGCAAGGTTCTCTGCTCAATAAGACAACCATGTCCCAAGAACGGACGGCCTCCCTTCTTTGTTCGGAACCTGGAAGTCTGGCCCGGACAACACGATCCGAGGTCGCAGAAAATCCAGCTAGGTAAGGCAACCTTGAGGAGGTTCGACTGACACTCTAATTACTGTACTTCTGCTCGATATTTGGCCTCCCATGTTGCTGAGGTGGACACTCGGGTGCCGAGCTCGGACCCAGCCAGCACGTTGGCATATGTGTGACTGGCTGTCATCACCAGGTGTCCGCTCTGGTGGTTGGCCCCAAGTCCTCGATCGGTTCCTTCTTCCGCGGTCCGCCAGAGCGACCCCATGCCCGGCCATCGGCATGCAAGCGCGGCTGGTGAATCAAAACTGGACACACCGCGACTTGTTGGTAAGGTTGGTGTGACAAAGAATTCACTATAATCTTAAACAACTGGCTAACAAAACAACATTCTACTATGAATGAGACGGAGGAACACACCAGCTCAACAACACAGCCATGTCCCAAGAACGGCCTCCCTTCTTTGTCCGGTATTGCTTCCGGTGACTTGCATGACTGCTTCGATGTCACCAGGTCACAGCCCCAGCCGGCGCATTAGCCCATGTGCCCGGCTGTCATCTACCCCCTGCCCCTGGGATAGGTTGGCCTCAAGGCTGTGACACAGGCAAACCGAACGCCTCACACATGGCCAATGGTGTGGGGAGCAACCCTGGTGGGGCAGGGGTTTACTCCTTAGGTAAGGCAACACCGAAGAGGTTCGACTGGCACTCTGCCTCGGCACTCTGCCTCTGTCGTCGATCCAAGAGAACAGAAAGCATGTGCTCAGCAGAAAGAGATATAGCCTAATCATGGGTTAGCGGCCTCCCCCATTTGCTGAAATCCACCCCACTCGGCCAAGGTGGGTCGCCATGCTCACAGGGAAAATTAAGATGACAGCGCTGTGCCGGATCCCGTCGCAGCTGTTGCTCAGCAGGCCATTGGCACACCTGCGATGTAACAGATCCCGGAGACTTGGTTTGCTTCGGCGTAAACATCGCCCGCAACGCGCCGATAGAAACAAACCAGGCACAGGCTAACATCACCACCGTGAGTAGCAGGCTCAAGGCACAGCTGGCGGCTGGGGTAGTGGTAACTTACAGCAGGATGCTATGCTGCCACTACAGTTACAGGCCATGCCAAACGATCAACGATAGACCTGATCCCAGGGCCACTTGCGCGCAAAAGTGAGCACAGGCAAGAACTGAAGAAGGCACTATCTCACCCTTCTCTTTACAACACAACTCAAGCGGCCTCCCTTTTAGGATCTCACCGGGGGGGGAAGGACACACCCGCCCCCCATTTAAGCCACCCCCAGCAGGCGCATTAGCGCATCGCCCTGCTGTCATACCCCTCGGGCTGTAGGGGAGTTGGCCCCAAGGGTGGCCGCCACGAGGCCACGCAGGCGTCAGTGGCCAAGCTTTCAGCTCCGGATGGATCGCTGCCCCCAACACGGCCAACAAGATGGAACCTGGCAGGTCTCTAGGGCCCCCTCGGCCAGCCCGCTGCTCAGGTTTAGGTCGGGCAAGCGAATCGACAAGGACGTTTATGATCAAAAGCAAGCACAGCAAACCACTAAACCCTACTAAAAAACCCTTAGAAGTTTTACTGGCACTCTGCCTTTGGCACTCTGCCTTTCATAAATTTGATCACAACCTGACACTTAATGACTACTCACTCGATTCGG